AAGGAAACAAAGATCCATGCCTGCACAGAGTTCTCATTAAAGTGGGTTGAAAAAACAATAAATGAAAGATATTATAATAGCACAAGGTAAGGGGCCATGGGAAGGGGTAAGGTAAACCTCACCAAGAAAGTGATATCTGACCAAAGGCTTGAAGGAGGCAAAGGAGTAAGCCATGAGACACTCTGAGGGAAGAGTAATCCTGGCAAAGGGAATAACCAGTACAAAGGCCCTGTGGTGGGTGAAGCATGCCTTGTGGTCAGGCAAGGTGGCATCAGGAACACAGCTGGAGCTGGAACCTGGGTCCCCGGCAGACAAGCTCTGAGGGCGCGGGCACTAATTTTACTCAGATAAATAAGTTATAACCAAGGCTGGTTGTAAACATCTTCCTGTGTCTGGAGACATTTTTACCGGTTGGATAGAGTCTTTCTGTTCAAGGACAGAGAAGGCTACTGAGGTGTGCAAATGTCTTCTAAAAGAAATCATTCCAAGATCTGGGGCTGCCCAAGTCTCTTCAGAGCGACAGCAGGGCCGCTTTCCCCACCAGGGTAACTGAAGCAAAACTCAACAGGCCCTACAACAATGTGGCAACAAAATCCTGCCAGATCCCATGCGGATCCCTCTGTCCCCCCAAACCAAAGGTTGGGCCCTGGGGACAAGCAGGGCTTAGGACATGGAAAGAGGGATCACAAAGGACCAACTCTGACCCAAATGGAAAGGACCCAATCGGGGAATTCTGGTGACTCCCACCATCACAGAGCTGGAAGGAGTACCTTGCCGGGTCCATCTCACCAGGATTAAACTTGTCCATCCCCCGCCCAAAACTTCTACAGGACCCACCGGCCAACCACACCTACACCTGGGAACCAATGAAAGCTTGGAAATAACCTGTTCAAAAGACAGACATTGGGCGCCTTGGTGGGGAGGGACTCAGTCAGTTGAGTGTCCAACTCTTGGTTTCGGCTCAGGTCATGATCTCAGGGTTGTGAGATCAAGCCTTGCACAGGGCTCTGCATTCTGTGCGAAGTCTGCTTGGGATTCCCTCTCCGTCTCCCTCTGCCCCTCATGCTCATTCTCTCTTTCTCTCATATAGATAAATAAATCTTTAAAAAAAAAAAAAAAAGACAGTCATCACTGCAAACAGGTAAGGAACATGGTGGACCACTGTCCCCAACACCTTCTTGTCTTACATCTGTGTCTCCCATAATCTTGCTGCTTGGAGCAGCCCCACTCCCTGTAAAGTGCCTGGTTTGCCCCTGCTGGATAAGGGGTCCAGTTCAGTCTAACATTTCCTGGGATGGCTCTGGGTCTGTTCTCTTGTCCTTTCATCCTCTTTTGTCCCTGCTAGGTGAAGGAAAAATAAAACTAACCATATCCCTTCTTGTCCTGGTGCTTATGTCTTCCCTGATCGTAATAAGGTGTAAGTAAAACATGGGGAAAGGGGAAGAAAATTCTTTGCTCCAAATTACTAAAACACTGTAAAAACACTGTCTCAGACCACACTAGAAACTTATCAGACCACTGGGTATGTCATGAACAAGTCCATGGAGAGGCACATAAAGATGTTCGGTGGGGCAAGCCTGCAGAGTGGTCCCTGGTCCAAGCCCACCCCATTTACAAAGCCAAACCTCACACAAACCCCGTCCTCTGCATCCACCCAACGCCCGCTGACCTGATTACAACAACATGTCTCCATCGATCAGCCATGACCGGTATACCAAGGTAGATCCCAGGCCGCCCCCACATGACCCTTCTTGTGATCCTTTTGGGCCCTCCACCGATAATCTGACTGCCAAAGGAACCCTCATACTTAGTACCATTTCATGCAGCTGCCCCCCCAAAAGTGTGGTTAACCCCACCCACAGTCCTGCCCCCCTTTATATGCAGCAATACCCTCCATAGCTCAAACATGGCATATGATCTAGAACATATGGCCTTGGTGTCCTGGTTCCCCAGACTGTCACACAGGGCCACAGGTGTATGGCAGTGCTGATGAAGGAGACCCGGATAATGACAAGTGCTCCCTGTGGACACCTCACCACCACTCGTCCCCTCAGTGCCCACCCCTCCCTCCCCAGGGCTTCTTGGTCTAGCTAAAGGAACGGTCTTCCTAGAAATGGCAGATGGGAAGGGGACACTAGTTCAATGTCTTGATACCAGTAATACTAGTGGCGACTGGGCTGTGAGACATGCAGCACCTTCCCCTGCCAATAACCCTTCTAACACTCAGCTATCACCACAAAGGTCCAGGGGAGCCATAGGACTGCTGATCGCCAGAGGATTCCCCTGGTTTGGATCCGTGATAGGACCAGGCAGGAGAATAATGTACAATGATGCTGCCACACAAAATGTCACAGCCCCTGTGTCCATGGTTGGGGCTGAAACCGGACAGGAGTTCGAGCTTTTCTAAGATCATGAGACTCTGGCTTCCATGGTTTTAGATCACCAGTTAGCCCCAGACTCTTACTGGCTGGGCCAGGGCGAGTATGCACTATTGCAAACCCATCTTGTTGTTTCTACATTCATGTTTCTGGAGAAGAGAACAAAGGGCTGACATCATCCTCCAAAAGGCCTCCTGGCTGCATCATTTTAAGACCCCCACGTTCAAACCATCTGGGACTCCATCAAGGGGTACCTGCCAAGTGTTACCTGGTTCTTGCCTTTCCTCACGACCTTAGTAGCCATTTCACTGCTGTTTCTATTTGGACCATGTTTCTTTAATTTACTTGTCAAATTTGTGTCCTCGAGATGACAACAGCCCCAGATCCAGCTGACACTCACACAGGGATTCAGCCCATATCCGCTGGGGACCACGTTCCCACAGCTGAGTTAGATCAGAGGGCGAGACATTGCCATGACCTCCAATGAGAGGCAGCATCTACGTCCTTGATCAGCAGGATGTAGACACAGGAGATGAGACCTCCATCCACGTTCCCCATAAGCATCAGGTGGATGAAATGTCTCTGGGGGGAACAGAAGGCAGTCAGGGACCATAGGAACAAGACTCTAATGAAAAACATGCACGTGGGGCACTTCCAGTCAGCTGTTCTTCCTGAACTGATTTTCTCACAGAGAAGAACCAGGGTCCAACCCCACACCAGCCGGACTTCAAACAACAGCCGGGGCCATATCCTGTTGAGGCAGGAACAAACGGAGGCACCATCAACCTGAAAGACCGCGGCTCCAAAAACACCGTGAGCTGCGGGATTGCCTGCTCACATCCACCAACTGGGACAAGGCACTTTTCCGTCCCTTAGCTTAAGAGACAGGAGTGGGAACACTAGTGGGGCCTTTGTCCAATAGAACGCTGCCTGTGCCTTAGACTTTTGGATCCTGTCTCACTTCTATAGTTGTTGGACCCAAGAACCAGCTCGGGCAGCAGACCCACACCTGTGCGCATGGTCCCTGTGACTGAACTACAGGCTGATGAGAAGGCCGGATCCTGAGTCCCCCACACCTCGCCCACAGAGCCCAGTGGCCACACGGACACCCCCCCACAAGGGCTGGACATCTAGACCCAGCCCTGCTCCCGGATGAGTTCCTTCACCCTCAACACCCCCTACCACCATTATCTACCAAATCAGGGGACAGCCCTCCTGCAGGACCAGGGCTCCAGCAAAATCTGGGCTTCCAACAGTAAGCTCAGTCCCTGACTGTCCCAGTTAGGAAGGAAGGTTTTCTGAACATGGCCCAGCATGTGTGAGCAGCCAGGATAAGGAAACACATCTGCAGAGAAGTAGCAGATACGAGAAATGCTGTTGAAGTTAATGTGGCCACAGGCATTTTGCAGCAAATACCTCTTCCTGGGCACAGGTCTGGCATCCGTAGGTTACCCAGGCATGTAAGGCCTTCACTGTGTGTGCTCGTAAAGTCAAGTCAGGTCAAGTAAAAAATAAGTTCGAATCATTCCTAGGACCAGGAGCAAGGCAACTTTGCATCTAATCCCACAGCAGCTGGATGGGTGAATACCCCAGCCAAGCAGGGTCTCGCCTCCACAGCCTGAATACAGAACAGGCTCCTACAAACCTCTGGGCCAAAGGCAATCGAAGGTCAACCTCCACTCCACAAACTCAGTTCTTCCCTGGCCATCTGAGAAATTCCAAAAAGGTGAGCTTGGGCCAGGCGTGAAAAGCAGGCACAGGAAGAGAGCCCCCCCGACCAGAGTTCCTTTCAGTGAGCTCACGCAGTGCCCTTGGGGACGCTGGCCAAGAATTCTGATCAACAGGCCAGGCTTTGCAGTTATTTTGAAACCAAAGCTATAACCACGGTTCCTGCCTCAAGGTGGCCGTTTCTTAGGGGCGATGGCTGGGGACGGGCTTCCTCTGCCATGAGCTGAATGCCGAGTACTCACAGGGACTCGGCATCCCGATTGCGTCCAATGCAGTGAGTTAAAGCTGTGCAGATTTCCCCAGGGACGGCCCTGAAAGCTCAAGGCCTGGGAACTAAAGCGGATGGGACTCTTGAAAGGGACCAAAGGGGCCACCATCAGGCCTGCTTCTGAGACCTCCTGGCCTCCACTCCCTGCCAAAGGAGGCAGGACTGAAGGGTGGGCTCGAGCCAGGGGCTGTGCCTGGGTTCTTACAGCACTGGATTTCCATCCCTGCCCCAGAATTTGTTAGCTGGGAGACATGGGACGAGGCCCTGTGTTTCTGTAAGCTGCTGTTGCCTGGTGTGTAAGAGGGGGATGCTACCACCCACCGTGACACGGAGATACTGATCCTGGAAATGGGAAAATGGAGGCGTGCGTCAGACACTCAGCGCAGAGGTGTAGAGACTCAAGAGATGGCATCTGTTATTGCTTGGGCACCAAGTGGTTTCACTCAGGCTTACAGACTCCACTAGACAGGCAGCCCTACAGGGAATCACCCTCACCTGACTCCCCCTCCTCCCTCCTCACTCCCTCCCTGCCCTCACAATGATCCTCAGTGATGCCGCCTGAAGATCTTCCGACACTCTCAGTGCGGGCTGCCTCAAGTGTGTCCACGTGGGCCCCTGGGCTCCCCTCAGTCAGCTGGACACTCGTCTTCCAGGGAATTTTCCAGAGCATACCAATAGCTGAGCATGTTGCGAGGCTTGACGAAATGGCAGGCCACAATCTTCTTAAAACGACACGTGGAAAAGGCCAACCCATCTGGGAAAAAGGTCTGCTCAGAGTGGAGTTCCTCCAGCCCGATTTTCAGTTTCGCCAGGCAGAGCCCCATGAAGACGTCTTCGAGTTTAAGGAACGGGACGCTGTCGGACACTTTGTACACCTGACTTGCCACATCACTGGAAAACACGTAGCCAGTGCCCGAGCAAAAGGGCGGGTACTTGTCCCACGGATACTCATATTTACTGACAAACCACTTGCTGTACTTGTTCCTAATCGGAAACTCATTCAGTTTCAAGAAGCCGGTGAAAAACTGAGTGGTTCTGTTTTTCCTGAGGAGCAGCTCGGTCAGGTAGTAGATGTTGACAAACATGTCCGAGTCCGTTTTCATCACGAAAGCCGCCTGAGGACAGAACCAGTGGATCCACTCGATACCCATCATGGTCTTCAGGGTCAGGTTGAAGTAGGTGTCCATGAAGTCCTTCTGGATAATGTCGTGATGCCGCTGGCTTTCCTGCGCAACAACTTTCGACAGGTCCTTACTGGCTGTGGCTCCCAGAAGGAAGAAGGTTTTTATGCGTTTTCCGTTCACATTCCTTTCTTTCCCCCACGTGTTCCGGATGACCGTGCGAGCAAACATCTGTTCATGGGAAGAGGTCACCAGCAGGACAAGGAAAGGGGGATCCTGCTTGCAGTTGATATCTGGAAGCTGGAGGAAGTTCCCCATTTCTTTCTTGAAAACAAATGGCTCATCTTTAAAAGGAGTCAGACTGTACTTGCTAAAATACAAACAGAGGGCTCCCAGGACCACCAGGGAAATGTAGAGCAGGCACATCTTCGTGTAAGCCATCTGGAAGGAACAAGGTGGGATGGTCAGACCTCAGGAGAAGGGGAGCATGTCTAGCTTTGCCCCAGGGAGGCTTATGGAGGGGAAGACACTCATGTCTCACAGCTCAAGTGCCAGAGACTCTGGGGTCTCACAGCACACAGAGCTGAGAGCGGGGGTCCAACAGTGAGCATGGACTCCCAACAGTGTGTGATCAGAGCACGGGGCTCCAGGCCAACCCACCCTTCACCTGTGGGATTCTCAGATTCCCCTCTAAAATATGGGACCAGATCTCCCATGAGGTCCTTCCAGCTCTGTCCATCCCTGACTTCATAATGAAGTCCAGCTAGAGAGCCTGCAAGACAGAAAACCACATCTTCTGGATGTAAAGGCATGAACTGTTTGCATTCTTCTCTAATTGAATCAAGAACCATTTTATCGCATCCAGAAAGAAGTAAGACCAATGTTCTGATCTACACAACTACACTCATCCCCCTTATTTGTGGGAATAACTTCCAAGATCCCCAGCAGATGCCGGAAGCCAACCACAGTACTGAACCCTATATACATCCTTGTAACTTCTAGTTTTTAAATCAGTCACAGTAAGAAATTCACAACAACAACTAATAATAAAATAGGATAACAATAACAACAAATTATAATGCAAGTTATGTGAATGTGGTCTCTCTCTCAAAATACCTTACCGCACTGTACTCACCCTTCTTGTGATGATGTGAGATGATGAAATGCCCACGTGATGAGATGAGGTGAGGTGTGTGACGCAGGCGTGTGATGTCGCGCTGGGCTACTACCAATCTTCTGACAGGTCCAAATGGGGACCATCTGCTTCTGGACCACAGTGGACCACAGGTGACTGAAACCTCAGAACACAGAAGCTCGGATAAGACGGGAACACTGTACCTTGGAATCCATCCCTGCTAGAGGTACTTATTCTATTTTAGGGGTTACTTCTTTAAATCTCCTGATTGTTTCTTCTTGTGCCCACACACCTCTGTTATTCTCAGCGAATTCTCACCAAATCCAGGAGCACCCATGTCAATGTTATAACATTAAGAAAACAAATAACTCACTTTCTTCTGGCTCTGATGACCCTCTGGTTGGAAAGCTAAACTACAGGGTAGATTCCAAGAGGAAAGTTGTCAAAGAGCTGCGAGCGAATGCCGTTGGGCCCTGTCCAGTTCTGGACTCACTTCGTTTACCCAAAACGATGATTCCCTTCCTCCAGAGTCACTGTAAGGAAAAAACAAAAAGAATAGCACCATTCAAATCATCCACAGCTCATGAGAGCTCCTCCCCATAGGCCATGCCAGCATGTTGCATACCCACCTCACTACCTACCCAGGTGACCTTAAGGATCATTTGGGCCCACTCCAGCCCCACTCTTCTCTTCTGCTAAGTGAAGGAGATCAAGACAGATTTCACACACGGTGCCCCTATGGACAACAATAAGAGCATGTGAATTTCCAAGAAGCCTGTTGAACCTGATGCACTAAGATAGTGCCCAGAGCTCTGGAAGGGGACCCAGGGGACCCATAAGTCAGCTTCAGTCCAATGTCTCATGCTAACAAGTGACCTTCCTACCTAACAGCCCGTGGCTAATGTTTACAGAATTTGACATGGGTAAGAGATCCATCAGTTCTCAACTCAGTGTCCCTGTCTTCAAAATATCATCCTGGGTGAGCTCAGAGGGACCAGCAAGACAAAAACAAAACAAAACAAAAAAAAAAGACAAAACAAACAAACAAACAAAAAACCCAAGAGGAAGGAAGAAAGGGTCACTTATTTTCATGGCAAAACAGGACCTTGAAATTTCATTCAGTTAAAATTCTGTTCCAAATACCTTCTCCATAAAAGATATGGAATAATGATAGAAACTTCCAGAACCACCTAACTCTCTGGAGGCCGACTTAGTCTGGCTCCTGTACTTCATGGCCCCAAGGAGGTTTTGTTCAGCTGGAGGCCCCACGCAGTTCAGAGAAATCACTGTGGGAGGCAAATGGATGGCAAGAACGTTTCTGAGCCGTGGCTGGCAGGATGCTGAGAATTTTATTTCCTTTTTTTTTTTTTTAAGATTTTATTTATTTATTTATTTGACAGAGAGAGTGAGAAAGCACAAGCAGGGGGAGTAGCAGAGGGAGGGGGAGAAGCAGGCTCCTTGAAGAACAAGCAGCCCGATGCAGGACTCAATCCCAGGACCCCGAGACCATGACCTGAGTGAAGGCAGACGCTCCACTGATGGAGCCACCCAGGCATCCATCATCTTTCTGAGAATAGTTATTTGCAGGGGTAGGATGTGTAGTTTGCTCTGGCTGAAGAAGGGGTAAGGGGAACCAAATTGCATTCCCCCCCCCCACAGCACATTTTAAAAAGAGATTGTTTTTCAGAGTCCATAGTCTCTCATGGTTCACCTCCCCTTCCAATTTCCCTCAACTCCCTTCTCCTCTCTAACTCCCCTTGTCCTCCATGTTATTTGTTATGCTCCACAAATAAGTGAAACCATATGATACTTGACTCTCTCTGCTTGACTTATTTCACTCAGCATAATCTCTTCCAGTCCCATCCATATTGCTACAAAAGTTGGGTATTCATCCTTTCTGATGGAGGCATCATACTCCATAGTGTATATGGACCACATCTTCCTTATCCATTCGTCTGTTGAAGGGCATCTTGGTTCTTTCCCCAGTTTGGCGATTGTGGCCATTGCTGCTATCAACATTGGGGTACGGATGGCCCTTCTTTTCACTACATCTGTATCTTTGGGGTAAATACTGAGTAGTGCAATTGCAGGGTCATAGGGAAACTCTATTTTTAATTTCTTGATAGACTATGGACTCTGAAAAACAATCTGAGGGGTTTGAAGCGGCGGGGGGTGGGAGGTTGGGGGAACCAGGTGGTGGGTGTTGGAGAGGGCACGGATTGCATGGAGCACTGGGTGTGGTGCAAAAACAATGAATACTGTTACGCTGAAAATAAAATAAAAAAAAAAGAAATGCACAAACCAAATCAAGAGAAAGATGGTATTTCTCTATGTTGCTTCCTTTCTCGGGTAAGTCTGCTCTTCTTCGGTGGGTGGCCTCACTGGTGAGCCTTAACACCTCTTTCCCCTAGTGTACCTTTTCTCAGGGTCATTCGCATGGACCTCAATCCCTAGGGAGGGACGCTCAGCTCACTCACTTCATGGGTCTCTCACTAGACACCAAACGGCACCCAGGAGGTCTGACTGGCCAATGCTTCCTGAGGTCATTTATTTTCATGTGCCGTCGGAACACACTTCCTACCTCCAGTGTGTGACCAGCAAGTTACACCTCATATCCCCATTTACACCTTCAACTGAGTGTATACGTTGTGCCATAAGGACCTACTGAAGGAGATCTGGGGGAGGACACCTAGCACCAATAAGGGACAGAGCCTGGAAGAGCATGTTTCTAGAAAAGGAAGTATGTATCCCCCAGGTTCTGTCCCTCACGGTTTGGCCAAAAGGCAGGAGCCCGAAGCATAAAGCAGCTCCATGGACAGTCATGAACAGGCAACTATCTCTGCTATGGAAACCCCACCTTCAAAACACACTTGGGCCGGCCTGTGTCACCTGGCTTTCCAGTCAGTTATGGAGCAACAGCTTATTTAGCAGATTCTGGATACCAGGCTTTGCTCGTTCAACCTAGGAGCAATACAGACACAGACACAGAGCCTCGGAACTGGAGTAGATAAGCAGTGTGCATGAATTATAGATCAAGACAAGCCAGAAGGTGGCAGGTCCCTCCCTCCCTTCTCCTCTGCTTCCCGCCTCTGCAGGTGTCACATCAGCTCCAGGCCAGGGTCACTGTGCCCCTTCTGGGTCAGAGTACCCAGAGGGCCAGGGGCATGTCCACCTAACACCCCAGAGGGCTGTGTGTAGGTTAGACTAGGCACATTTAAATTACAGAAGAACAAGTAAGTAACAGCACAAAGCTAGCCCTAAAAGCTAGCTCTTTAGGGCAGGGAAAGGCTGTCTGTCGGGAGCCCAGAAGTCATTGTCTTTACTCCATTAAACAGAGGGTCCCTCCCTGCCCAGGCCAGGTGGGTAGGACTCCTGACCTAGGGCTACAGGGCCTGATGACAAAGGGATTGGAAGTCCATATCCCCAAGAGCTAGAAAGCCAAAGAGTCGGTCTGCAAATGCAGTTTAGTGGGGCTAGGGGTGTGGAGACAGCGGAGGGCCTCCTGGATCTGAAAAAAAGGATGATGAATGGAACTTCCAAAAATACTGTCAAAAGACTTCAGAAGCAAGCCACAGAAAGGGAGAATATATGTCATACATAAATCTGACAAAGGACTAGTATATCAAGAATATATCAAGAACTTTTATGTATAAACAAAGAAAGCATAAAAACAAAACAAAACCAAAAAACCCCCACAATCTTAAAAGATGAATTGTGAATAGATATTTCACAGAATAAGAAATCCAAAAGGCCAAAACCCAGGGTAGGAATCATTAGTCATGATGGAAATGCAAATAAAACCAGTGCCACCCATGGAGATGACTAAAAAGAAGTGGGATGTTGGAAAGCCGTATTTATTTGGCAGTATCTACTGCAGGGAACGCGATACGCTCTGACCCCGCCAACCAAACCTGAGCTCGTACCCAAGAAAAATGAGGTGTGGCCAAGAACGTGCAGAGCATGTTGCTGCACACAGTAACCAAAAATTCCCCTCCGTCTGGGTCTGGTAATTCAAAGGGAAAGTTTAACATAAAGGATTGTTCCTCTACCATGGGATCTGAATGATGAGTGACTAGCAGGAAGTAAAGAAGTCTCTCAGAACACAGGAAAAGCAGGAATAAGGAGCAGCACTGCCTCTTGCTTATGAAAGCTCCAGGAAAGTCCACCAACCCCAGCCTGAGACGCAGACCTCCATGACAAGGGCACAGCCTGGCCCACTAACAGCAGAGAAGTCACTGAGGGCCCAGAGCCACTTTCACAGAGTCATCAAAAAACCAAGAATTTCGAGCCGAGAGGCAGTACATCAATAAATGGCACAAATGTAAGCGAGAAATATCCATCAGTAGTGAGTGGGTCAATAAAATGTTACATAACCGTTAAAAAATACAAACTTTTGATAAATGCACTATGTGCTAACCTGATAGATATTATGTTGAATGAAAGGAGGCAGGCATGGAAGATATGTTCTGAATGATTCCATTGATAAAAAGTTCAAACCTAGCAAAAAGTATCAATAATAGAAGTCAGAGTGGTAATTACCTCTTGTGGAGGGATTATTAACCAGGAACAGGCATAAGAGTCCTTCTGGAGAGCTGGATATATTTTATTTTTGGTCTGGGAGATGGTTACATAGATAAAAATTCATTGAATCATCCAACGAAGATCTGTGTACTTTGCTGTATGTAAGCTATTCCACATTAATATTTTTTGAATAATTTTAAATAAAAATAGATCTCTGAATGGTGATACCTTCTATAAAACAGCCTGAATATATTTGACCCCTATTCTGATTTTTTACACAGTGCATTTCATGGGGCACCGTGCCTCACAGAACAAACTCATTTTGTGTCCGGGTGTTAATTTATAATGATGACGGAATGACAAGTGAATGTCACTAAAAGAAAACATTAACATCACTTTAGCTCTCTTAGAAACAAGAGACATGGTTGGCCAAGGTGGGCCACGGGAGGCTCACAGGTGCAACAGACAGGTCCGGGTCATGGCCTTTATTGAGTATTTCTGTAGACAAG